CTGTACTAAAGCACAGAGAGACTGTTTCCGGATGACCCATAGTGAAAATCCCGTCCAAAATTGCATGGACTGACTGCTGCTTCATAACAAAGAAGCGCAGACAGTTTAGTGAGTTATTTTGCTTTATTCCATCATAATCTCAAGCCAAAAAATAATGAATCTTTGGCTCCATTGCAAATGATGTAGTATATTTCCATATACTACATCTAATTAATATATTGAGTATATATATATATATATATATATATATATATATATATATATATATATATATATATATATATATATATATATTAAAGTATAAAATATAGGGAAATTGACAAGAAGAATCCAACCTTTCACTGATCTTCTCATAATAATCCTACCTTTACATAATCCCAAAATAATCCCACCTTTGCACCCTATCTTCTTTCATCGTACCCTGACCAAGTTTTTTACCTTTCTTTGAAAATCTTATATAAATAATCTCACATTTATAAAGATATAATAGAAAAGTGAGAGATGAGATTATTTATATGATTTTCAAACAAAGAGTAAAAAATATGGTCAGGGTCCAATGAAAGAAGAGGAGGTGCAAAGGTGGGATTATTTTGGGATTACCTAAAGGTGAGATTATTATGAGAAGACCAGCGAAAGGTGAAATTATTTTTGTCAAATTTTCCTAAAATATAAGTGTACTAATCATCTTATAGTAGTGTACTTATATATTATATACTATAAACATTATATTATATATTAGTTACACTTTAATTAATTGGGTCTTCGTACCTCTGTTATTGACAAGTGTATCGGTAAATTTTTTGAAATAGCCCACTAAAAAAATTACACATGTAAATTTTAAACTAATACTCTTAGAATTGAGTCCTTTTGCAAAGGCTCTGGTTTTTTGACGGTACATCAGACCATTCTACAAATCAAAGGCCAAGTTCCTCATGTAAACGCCTTCTCTAGGGGCCTGCGCAAAAATATTTTTCCACTTCACGTGCACAGGCGCCGCTCGAGAGGCATAACAGTTCTTAGCAAACACCAGCAGCTCATCGACGGCGAAATTTGGTCTAATAATTACCTCTCTTCTTCCCTATCTTACTCGGCGGCTCTTATTTCTCATCGCGTCAGTGTTTCTACATCCTCTGCAATCTTCACGGGTCCGCCGACGGGACATACACATAATAGTAGATTACTACTCCGTACAAAGTAATTAATTGGCTTAAAAAACTTGGGTACGGGTGCATCGGTTCGTATACGGTGCAACCGGCGCACCTTGAGCATCATGCTCCACTCCCCAAAACGACGTAGTTTTGCACAATTTAAAAAAAATCGCGTGAACAGTACACGCGTGAACAATACACGCGTGTACAGTAACTCACGTGTAAAGATATGTAACTCGCGTTATTGATCAATGTAACTTGTCAAATACATAGTATAAGAAATAAAATATTGATTTCGATGTAAATAATGGAAAAAAAAAGAGTCTAATTGCACAATTGTTTTAGGTAAATTGTAAATATGTTTTGTTTTCAGTATCATGACCATAAAAATTTTTTTTTTTAATAAAATCAATTTTTTGTTTCAATAGGAGGGGTTGATTTTTTTTATGTAACTCGAATTACGGAAAATGTAAATTACATGAAGCGAGATGTAACTTGATGAAGAAAGTTGACATGTAACTCACACTAATAGATACGTAACTTTAGACAAATGCTGGTGTAACTTGAGTGTGGGTAAGATGTAACTTGGTGAGGTCTAATATTATTCATAGCAGTCATCTTCAACATGTAACGACAGTGAGTCTTCTTCATTAGAATCAGAACTTTCATATCTAAAACATAGATACGGAGGAAAATCAAGAGACCCAAGCATCTAAATTAATTGAAAGTCATATAGACACCCAAGAGTCTAAATTAAATTTATGGAAATCTAGGAAACAAATCTGCGACAGAGATGAAATCCATTCACAACCTTCATCGAGAGAAATCTGCGACGGAGATGAAATCCAAATTCACACTTGGGAGCCTTCAACTAGACAAATCTAGGAGAGTAGGAGACCAACAACGGAGATGCGAATATAGTGCGGTCAAACACGACAAAGACAGGAACGAAGCACCTGGATCCCCATCTGCGACGGTAGACTGGACGACCATCTCCGATAGTAGATCTGGAAGACTACCTGCGACCAGACGAAGCGTGGTAAAGCACGGAACGAAGCAGATGCAGAGTAAATGAAGGAGCAATGGCAGAGGGCATGGGAGGCTTTGTAATTTTTTTGAGAAAGAACGGTATCGTTTTGAGATCGGTACACCATGAGGATGGTGGACGGATCTCACGGTATAATTTGTGCCGGTGCATTCTAAATTAAGGAAGTCACCGTAGAATTTTCCTAATTAATATTAGTTAAGTTTTATCCTATTACTTACACACTCACATTTCCATTAATTAGTATACATTCATACATTTTTTCTATTAGTTACATTTTCATTAATATTAATTAGTTAATTAGTTAATTATTAAATTTTTCATTTTGTCACCTTTAATATTTGTTACATACTCATACTATTTGCATTTGTTATAAGAGTAGTTGCATTTTTAGTTTCTTAAACTACACTTGTTATCTACTAAAATATAAAAGTAGTTGGAATTTTAGTTAATTAAACTACACTTGTTATATTAAAATATAAAAGTAGTTGAAATTTTAGTTAATTTTACTACACTGGTTAAATTAAAATATAAAAGTAGTTGGAATTTTAGTTAATTAAACTACACTTGTTATATTAAAATATAAAATTAGTTGAAATTTTAGTTAATTTTACAACACTGGTTAAATTAAAATATAAAAGTAGTTGAAATTTTAGTTAATCAAACTATAAAACTAGTTCGAATTTTAGTTAATTAAACTACTGATGGAGTATATGGCCCAGGAACCCCAGGCCCATAGACTCCCACTACTGTAGCAGAGGCCCAATAGGCCCAGGAAGCACAACAAGCCCAAATCACAGCGCCCCAAGTGCCAAGCAGCCCACGACGAACACTGGGGTGCCTTCGCCCCCCTGGCCGAAGGCTCATAAACTTACAGTACAGCTTCTTTAAAGCCCTCAAAGTGTCTGGGAGAAAGCGGCAAAAACAGTAGCCCTCGGCACCTAGAGCCCTCGGCACCTAGAGCCCTCGTCACCTAGAGGCCCCCGGTATGAAGAGCCTTCGGCCAATCATCTACGGCCGAAGGCATCTCCTCGACAGAATCTCTCACCCACATGCGCCGGATCAACGTACCGAGTACAAACGTCACATCCAACCACCGCATTTAATGCGGCCACATGCGAGTGTCAGTGTCACCCCGTTGAGGTGACCCCTCGACCACCAGAATGATGATACGTGTCCCTATCTGGCATTTATTACCACTATAAATAGCGCCCCTTTTTCCCATTTGTAATTCATGTTCTATACGCTCAACTCATTCTCAGCAATATATATATTCTCTCTCTTACTTCTGCTCTGACTTCTCTCTAGTTACTCCCGGGTACACTATCCATCAACTACACTTGTTAGATTAAAATATAAAAGTAGTTGAAATTTTAGTTAATTAAACTATAAAACTAGTTCGAATTTTAGTTAATTAAACTACATTTATTAAACCAAACATTCCAGCCTAGCTGGTTGTAAGGTTACCGTGCCTAGTGGGAGGTCTCAAGTTCGAAACCCGCTAGGCACATAAGGGTTTGAAACTCAATGGAGTGAGTTTCAGCCCTGATTACTCCAGACCCTCCCAGACCATCTGGAGTAAAAAAAAACTACACTTGTTATATTAAAATATAAAAGTATTTGAAATTTTAGTTAATTTTACTACACATGTTATATTGAATTATTAAACTAGTTGCAATTTTAGTTGGATTAAAGTATTTAGTATTTGCATTGTTTTTGTACTCACATTAACATATTTGTTAGAATTTAATATTTGTTACATCTTAAGATGGGAGGTGGTAGACATTCTGTAGATATGGGTAACTTCCAACGCAACCGAAAGAAGGAGACCGGGAGGAATCATCCTACTTCACGCAAAGGTAAATGGCATATCAAGTCTTGTTCTCAAAGCTGAGATGATTTTGAAACGGATTACCGACGGAGAGATGCAGATGCGAATATGCAATGTCCGACGCGCAACTACAACAACTATTGGCCCAACAAGATGGACACTTTTATCAACAACATGACATCTCCGACATTGAGGAAGAGCTCGAGGATGAGGATGCGGAGGGGGAGGATCCGTTGACGGTCTTGGACGAACAAGGCGGCTCTCAAACCCCGGACGATGACGCCAACGACGAAGACGAGGCTGGTTCATCCCAACCCGGTAAGAAAGGTGAATCTCTCATTATGAAAAATAATTATAAAAGTGGAAGGACCCAAAAAACGAGAAGTGGTACACAACTTGCAAGCATTGTAAGAAAGATATTTGTTTGGGGATTTCACAAGGATATGGTGGCGCTAATAGGCATATTAAGGCCCGTCACCCTGTGGAGTATGCCAAGTTAAAAGGCAAGGAGAAGCAAACTCAAATATCGAGGTTTGAAATTGGCCAACCTTATGGTAATTTCTCCTATGATGATCCTAACACTTAACTGCTATGTCTCACTTAATTGTTGAAAAAAAATTGTTTTTTAATTTTTTTGAAAGTCTTGCTCTTAATGAGAATATATCGTCCACCGTATAATGTTGATTATTTATTTATTTATTTGAAAAAAATTCGATATATTGATTATTTATTTATTTAAAAAAATTGGTATGTTGATTATTTATTTATTTGGAAAAAGTTGATAATTTATTATTGATTATTTATTTACCTTCTACCCTGTCACTCTATGGAGTGTGTACGGTACATATTTGAGAACAAATTTATTGAATAAATGAATTTCATGTTTATTTATTTTTTAAAAAATTGAATTTCATATTTATAAATTTACCCTTATTGGATTGATTTGATCATTTGATGAACTCGACCCTTCTTTACTGGAGCAATTGCAAATTTGCAACTCATCTTTATAAATTCAAAACCGACCCGGAAAGAACGAGAGAGAACCAACGGTGGTGATAGACCTAATCCCAACCCCAAGCTCCCATCTCAGTCGTCTCCTCTCCCCACTTTTCCAGCGTCCGATCTCCTCGATTCGCTTCGCTCGCGCCTATATACAAATTCTCACTCTCTAATTTTCAGGTGTACTTCACGTTTCTCTGCCTCCTATATTATATGCGCACACTTCTCTGTGATCTTATCTATTTACAGTGTAATTTGTTCGGCATATGGCGTTTGTAGGTTCATCTGCCGGTAGTTATGACGGACGGTCAGGTGCCGTTTCCCTTTCCGGGAAGCCCTGGCGGCGGTAGCCATGATAGCGGGGACCACAGCCCCGGCTCCAGGTCGAATGTTCGGGAGCAGGATAAGTTCCTTCCCATCGCGAATATCAGCCGGATCATGAAGAAGGCCCTTCCGGCTAACGGCAAAATTGCTAAGGATGCCAAGGAGACTGTCCAGGAATGTGTTTCCGAGTTCATTAGCTTCGTCACCAGCGAGTACGGATTCTTCTAGGGTTCTTTTCTCTTTTTCTCTTGGTTAAAGAATTATTGTTTGGTAATTCAATTTGGTGCCTGTGTGTTAAAGTTTCGTTCTTTTTTTGTTTGTGCTCATATTTGCGTATGGTAGAAGGACGGGTTTTCAATAAATCTGCTTACTTGGATGTGTTTTGTGAATGTATGCTGATTGTCATTTTCAAATGGTTTAGGGCAAGCGACAAATGCCAAAAGGAGAAAAGGAAAACTATCAACGGTGATGATCTGCTGTGGTCAATGGCGACTTTAGGATTTGAAGATTACATCGAGCCTCTGAAGGTGTATCTTACTCGATACAGAGAGGTATTTATCTTTCTCTCTGCACACGAATGCTGCATTTGGTGCTGCAAATATTGCCATAAGTCTATAACTTCATGGTTTATGAACTAATGCATTTCTGTTCTGTATGTTTTTATGTTCCTGTTGGATCAATGCATCTTCCAGATGGAGGTTAGTCACTATTGCTTTGCATTTCAATTATCATTTCTCTCTTCTAAACTCCCACCCTCTCTCTCTCTCTTAATATATTTCATTAGCGCTAAACAACTACTTTAATTGGTAGGGTGATACAAAGGGATCCGCCAAGGCTGCTGATAGCTCTGCTAGAGATGCTGGGCAACATAATCCTAACTTACAGGTTTCCCCATATTTTTATATGTTACTGCACTTCGAAATTTGGTTACTTTATGAAACACAACATTACAAGGGCTAGTTCTGGAACTCAGAAAATGGTTGGGAAATAAAAAACCAAAAGAAAATGGTTTTGATGTTTGATTTAACTCGGAAAATAATTAGGAATTTAACATTTGAGCAGGTTTTTTTTATGTATATATAGATTTCATATTCTTTATGTGATCAAAATTGTTGAAAAATTAAAGTTTGAGAACATCTTAACCTGATAAGTTGACATATTAAGTATTTCATTTGCTTCCAAATTTCCTCTTTTTATAGCATATTCTCAAGTTCTAAGCAGACCCTTAGAGTTATAGCATTGCGTTGTAAATACATCTAACAGGTATTGTTTCTTGCACTTCAAAGAGGGAAAGTTTTGTCTTAATCTATATCTTACAGTCTTACCGTAGCTTACTTATGCTTATTATCCACAAGAACTTTAATACTTGATCTGTCTGTCACATTTTGATCTTAAATGTGTTTAAGGGGATATTTTATCTCATTGGATCCCATCTTTTGATTTTTAGCTTTATGTTAATCTTTCTTGTTTTTTTCCATCATTTGCAATGGAGCCAAAGATTCATTATTTTTTGGCTTGATATTATGATGGAATAAAGCAAAATGGCTCACTAAACTGTCTGCGCTTCTTTGTTATGAAGCAGCAGTCAGTGCATGCAATTTTGGACTCAATTTTCACTATGGGTCATCCGGAAACAGTCTCTCTGTGCTTTAGTACAGGGGTAAGACTGCGTACATCCGACCCCCCCTTACCCCACCATAGGTGGGAGCCTTTGCGGCACTGGGGTAAATGAAAATGATGATGATGTTAATCTTTCTTGTTTAAGTAATCTCTTCTTAAAATACTCAGTATTTTGGCTGATTGACGTACATCCAATACAGTGCTCCATTTTACCTTCTCTGCATTGATGTTGAAATGTTAAAAGAGTTTACTTGTATTTTAGGGTCATATGCTTTTAAAAACTGCCTCTTTGATTTTTTAGTGATCATTGCTTGAGGAGTTGCACTTGCCGAGTGTGTGATTTTAAAGATGACACCCATGCACTTCTTCTGCGAAGGGGTTCCCAGTGTGTTCACAGGCAGAAGAAGTCATACATGTGTTCAGTCATGTGTGCTCATTGTTATGTACTCTTTACAAAGTCTTACACAATTGATGGCCCTTTTCATTTGTCTTCAATTTAAATAGCCTAGGACCCCTAGGTGGCCTTCTTGTGTGTGTATTTCTTTTTCGATTTTGGTGGTCTCGTTTCTATGTTAGGTGTACTACTTTTGTTGTGCCTATGAGGCTCCACACCTACTGCCACCATGTTTAAATAGCTGTATTTGTTTTTTGCTCCCAGGGACAACATATGGTGGTTCCGATGCGAGGCATGGAGTAGATATGGTTCTTCTTGGGGCTTTGACATCACTCTTTGGTGCCAACAGGTTGAACTGAATAGACTTCAGAATACGCATTCTAAATATATTTTATCCGCAAATCGTAACCACTCTTACTGGGGTTTATTATTAAAGCCCTTGTAGCAGTAGAAAGAAGTTCATGATTATTACTCGGTAAATGTATTAGTTTGCAATGATTTGTTACCCGGCATTTGTTTAGTCATTTTATTGCAATGAAACCAAATTAAGTTATGTTTCTACAAACATCAAGTTTATGTTTATTGCTTTTCCTATAAATGAGGGGAAAGTCGAGTGTTGTGCATGACGAGGCGCTTTTTGTTTGCTGAAGAATAGGGTGTTCTAATTGATTCTGATTGTGTGAATCAGTTTTTCGAAACTTGGTCTCCCTCATATTCTAAAAAATTGCTTGTATGACCAATTTGAAGGCACTTAAAAGTACTTGTTATGCACTTTCATTTAGACGCTCTAGTATATGCTTTTGTTCCGTGAATGAGTAGAAACAGATTTAAAAAGCAGATTCAAACACCTTATAGCACCCCAGGGCAAACCCGCACCGCATGAGCAATAGAATCCCCTCTGCTACCACAAATCACACAACCTCCTTGAATAATCACTCCTTTTTTCCTCGAATTATCCACTGTTGGAAACGTACCGTCAATAACTTGCCAAATAAAATATTTAAATTTTGGAGGTACCTGTGAGTCCCAGACTCGACTCCACCCCTCCCATGCTCCACTTCGTAAATCACCCATACAAGCTCTTAGGGATGGACTCGGGTCCGGGCCGGGTCCGGGTCGGGCCTAGGCCCGGGCGGGCCGGCGGGTCAGAAATGGTGGACCCGGGACCGGACCGGGTAACCATCGGGTCCGGTCCGGGTCCGGACCGGACCGGGTAACCACCGGGTCCGGGCCGGGCCGGGCTCATTATAATTTTTTTTTGTTTTCCTCTTCCTAATTAACCCCCCTCCCACCCCCAACCCCCAAATCACCCCAAATGGCCCAAAATACCCAGCCCAACCCAAAAATTTTAAAAAAATTGAAAAGAAAAATAGTTTTTGGCCCGAACCCGGCCGGGTCAGGCCTTGTTTTGGGTGACCCGAGCCCGGACCGGAAAACCCACGGGCCGGGCCTACCCGGACCGGTCACTGACCGGGCCACCGGGTCTGGCCGGGCCGGAACAGTACCGGTTCCGGGTCGGGCCACCCGGCCCGAGTCCATCCCTACAAGCTCTATAGCAGCTCTTCACCGAGAACACTCCATTCTTTTCCCCGCTCCACAAAATGTCATCTTCTCTGTTCTGCCAGCTAACTCGGATGCTCAGAACTTTCTTTTTATCTTTCTCATTGTGTGTGACTTTATGAACCCGTTTGGTGACACTGTTTTTCGACTTATCAAGTCTATCAATCAACTTAACTTTTGATTTTGGAGTTGTGTAAATAGTAATAATTGAATTCAAGAGAAAAAACAGAACCAAAAGTCAAAACACATCCCATACATATAAGACACCATTAACTTGGGAGTCGGGAATATAAAAAAAAAACTATTTCACGAATTATCACATCGATAAGATAATTACACAATGATTTCTTATAAGTTAACCCACTTCCTAATTTGGAAAAGGTATGCTCTATAGGCGATGCTTTCTTGTTTTTACCATCTTTCAGGACACTGGTCATCAAACAATACCAATTTGCAGATTAGGTTAGACAGTTTTACATTAAGTGTCGTTCTTTGAGGGGAGCAACCTGATACTTCGCTTACTTCCACTTTCCCAAAATGATTCTCGATAATACTTTTCTTAACCAATTCAAGAGTGGGTTGACACTTTTTATCCCTGAATATTTTATAAATGTCATTTTCCCACTTTTAGGTTTTAATCCTTCGGATATTGTAAATGACACTTTTGATACTCGACTTTAAATGGAGTGTTCCTAATTTCTACACCAAGCTGCAAAATATAACCAAAAATTAATTTCTACACTAAACTTAAAAATAATAGGAAAATGGGTTATGTAAGGATACTCTTTTGCTGAAACAACCTGAGAATATCTCGGTTGACACAAATTGAGAAAAAATAGAAACACTATAACGTATTTACCTACCAATGATCTTAATGAAGAGTAGCATTGCTATTTTTCTACTGATGAAGAAGAATGTCTGGTATATCATGTAATCTACATCTACAAATCTGATGCTCTACACCTCTTCTAGAACAATCTAACAGGAAAGACTTCTAGGCATTCATTTGTGATACAAAACTCACCCTGCTTGTGTCACTCACATGGTGACAAGTGGCAACCCTGACTCTTTTATCAGTGCAAATAATGCCTGACAAATGTAAGCGAGAGCATTTCTTTATACATTATTAGCAAAGCGACCTACTGAACCAGAAGATACTTTCCTCCGCCTACCCCGCTTCTGTCGAACACGCCAAAGACTCAAAAGTAGCAACACCCCTAACAATACAATGTGCAGAGTTAAAAGAGTTTGATTCAATAAATGAGGAAAAAAGTAAAATAAAAACACTTCCCGGAAAACCCAAAATTCTTCCAACTTACCAATAATTGCAATACCTACAGGAACAAGCCAATGGGTTGCTAAAGGCACATGCACATCTTGCTGCAAACAAAAATTCCTTGTTAAACAATGAATGATAAATCAATTAAAGCTACACAAGGAGTCAGCTTTAGGGAGGATGATAACTTTATTTTGTTAATTTATTCCTACAACAGTTGGTTAGAAGGGAAACAGGTGAAAACTTATAGAGATGCATGACTTTATTAAATAAACAGACAGTTAGTTCTTATAAAACCAATAAATGAAGATATAATTAGTAAAACTAATATCATTCTTACCCTCTCAACTTCCCCTCAGAACTCCTCAACAAGACAATCATTATTAGGTTGATAGCATAGAGCACAATAGGGACATGAACATCTCAATGTAAGAGGGGAATTACATGGAATTGAACACTAGCCTTTCATGTTAAAACAATGGACAATAGAACACAATGATGAGAATCAAGAAAGTATTACATCATCTCCATCCAGGTCCTTGCTTCTTGGTGAATAACCACCTTTCTTTTTAGTTGTGTTGGATATTTCCATCCATGAGCTCTCTGAGGAAGAATTTAAACCAGTGCCCAAATCAATAACAGTGTAGCCTGGTAATCTCCGGTTTCTTCCCCTGACATGTAAATTGTAGCCTTTAGTTTCCCATACTTCAAACCGAGAGTCATGCCTGCAGATCATATCCTTTCCAACAACAGCAGAATAGGTAGAAAAGTTCACATCAGTCCGTCTGGATGGTAATTGCTTCTCGTCCATGTACAATGGTTTGTCTTGTTTAACTGAATCAGAGAACAGTACGGGATCTTTATTACTTTTGCCAGTAAAATCTAGTATTTTCTTCAAAAGCCCGTAACAATTGGTAACCATATGACTGCTATCCAAACAGTTTGAGTCCCCATATACTGCAATGCGGCCCTTGCCAGCCTCCACTAGACCAAGAATCGGCATGTCTGCCTGAATCAATTTAAAGGCATACAAAACTTCAGAAAATGGTAGTTCCTATCTATCTATCTATTTATTTATTTATTTATTTATTTAGGGACAGAGAGGATAATAGTTAACTTTGAGAAGGCTCAGATTTCTATGAACAAGTTGAAGTAAAACAACATGTTCAAACTGCTTCCAATGTCATAAGTTTTCTCCAACTTTGACAAAAAATGTGGATTTAGGAATGTATATTTAATGTATTCACTAAAAAAGAGATTATTAAAAGAGTTTGGGGTCGGCTAACACGAATCGAAGTACAAATTCATTCACTAAAAAGGAGATCATTAAGTGCTGATATTTCTGTCTAGTATGTGGGACGATCAGCGAATAGGGTTGCTGATGCTTTGGCTAAGCAAGCTATTTCAGAGTCTGATTGTCTATGGTTTGATGTACCACCTGCTTCTATTTGTGACCTTCTTAGAAAGGATATCTATAATTAGTGAAAGTGTTTTGTTTTCAAAAAAAAGAGGGATCATTAACTGTGTAAAAAAATATTATGATTCAAAGATTCTTTTTGGTAGTAAAACAAAATATGTGGTTGAGTTTATTGAAAGGAATCTTTTGTTAGAGATTCAATATACTTTCGTATTAATGATGAAATTACTACGACTTTAACTGGCAGGGGTACCGCTTATTTACCACCCAAGGAAACTAGGAAATGCATAAAAACTCAAATGGTAAATGCTAAATAGTACTCCCTCCAGTCGCACTACCTCAAATTTCATTTTCTATCCATCCCACTACCTCATATTTCATTTTTTTTGTCTCTCACTAAGTTTGTCTCATACCATATTTGATTATATTTGCATGGTTCTAAACTTCTAATTCATTCTTACTTTATTCAAACGTTACCAATTCACTACCAAAAACACGATTCCACTTTTCTTATTAACCACACCACTCTCTCATATCCACATCTTAGGGTGCAAAGGTATAATAGTATCATGAAAAAAATACTGAGGATCAGAGCATAAAGAGGAGCCTTTTTATCTCACCTTGGCTGTGCCAGATAACATAACATTTTGTGTAGCCCCACTCTCTGAACTATCGTGGAAAGGGAAGCTATGCAGATATCCACCTCTAGGAAACTTGACAATGTCAGTTCCAGATGCATATCGACTCTGCTCACCATCGATGACAAAATCACCATTAAGAATTTTATCTCCAAATGCAATCCCAAATGGAGCCAAAAGGTCATTCAAAGCAGGCACATTAGCACCTCCAGTTACAGGGGTCCACCAACTTCGTGTGTTATCATCAAAGAATCTCATCTTCACCATTGTATCCACATTATACCAATCAGCAAATACAACCACACTTAACCCAGTGTTGATCACATCATCCCTGAGTTTCTTGATCTCTTCACCAAAGTACTCATCTTCAAGATCCACAAGGAGAAGGGTCCCATAGTGTCTTGCATCAAAGCATGTGAGAGGAGATCCAAGTGTTTCAACATAATACCCACCATCTCTTAACATGTCAAACATGATATGGAAGTTTGTATGAAGATGATCTCCATGCCAATCAAGAATGTCATTCCTAACATCCAAAGAATCTCTTGGTATATAACCAGGGGGGTACTTAATACTATGGAATTGATCCCATAAAATCCGAGCTTCTCTTGGTGGAGTAGGAATCACTTTCAGTTTCAACTGAAGGATACAGGTATCAGTTCGGCGGGTTTTTTCTCCTTTAGCTGGAGGGCTATAAATCTGAACAGTAATATTTCCTTCAATATCCCCAGAAAATTTAGCCGCTTCTTCCTTGATTTGCATATGAAGCGCCAGATAACCTGTCCATGGCCAAATAACACCAGAATAGGTGAAGTGTATATCAAGAAGATTTCCCATATCATCTGAGGGATTCCATGTCGGCAGGCCTTCAACATAACCAACAACACCCATCCCATTTAAAATGGTAGCATTAAAAATAACTGGCATAGCACCGGCATAGAGTGGTTGAGAGCAAAATGGCCATGAATAAGGACAATCTCTGTAATCAAGAACACTGGGAAAGATGCTGGCCCGAGGTTGATAGTTCTTTAAAATCTCAAAAGACTCCAATCTGTCATCAGTATTCAAGTTAACATATATATAAGTTATATGAAATTAAAATGCACTGTGTGCTTTCACAATGCACCAAAAGCACCTCTTCTAGCCTGAACAAACGTAAACTAATCTGAATTTTCTAAAATCTACTCAAGCAGTCAAGTGTGATCTAAATCTTTCTGGTCTGAGAAAGTTTCTGATCTTGTCTAGTTCTCTTTTTCAAATATAAGTATATAACACACTAACACCTATTCTGATCTGAATTTTTTTGTTCAGGCCTTGTCCAAATACTTCTGGTCTAGTTTGGATATTTCTTATGACCTTGAGTAATGAGCAAAAAATAAGGTTAACAGAACATCACTTAACTAACTTAAGTGTTCAAGAACTCACAGATTAACCCTGCCTGCACCCTGCTCATACATGTTAGGACCGAGAAGCTTTGCAGCTCCCTCAACAAGTGCCTGTTTCACACTGGCTGGGTTTAACAAGTCCTTCCGCTTGCCTTCAGGAATGACACTGACAAGGAGGCATACAATTCCAGCCACCACAGGACTCGCAACACTAGTGCCAGACAAGCTTTTGCAACCAGTGCTGATCTTGGAACCCATGATCTCCCGTCCATAAGCAACTATGTCAGGTTTCATGCGGCCATAACTGCGCAAAGCAGACATGCAATTACAAACCTACCTCGTAGCTCATTTTACTCTTTCATTCACCACAGCCCCCACCTCCATAGAGGGGGCTTTTATGCAAACCAGTTCGGTGAAGAAATTTAGTTATCACTTCCAGGTTTTATGGTTACTGTCCAGGTAGCATAACTCCATATACGAAAAGAAAAAATAAGAGGAAAGGGAGCAAAAATACACTACCCATGAGGAATCTCCCATGTACTCATGCCACGCGATGAAAATGATGCTATATGATCATTGTAATCAATGCCACCAACACCAATAACATCACTTTGATCTGCTGGATTGTTCAAAGTTCCATAAAGTGGCCCATCGTTACCAATGGCTGAAACCATGATAATATTATTTGCTGTTATCTCCCAAACCTAGCAGAGGAAGTAGACAATCGGGTCACTTGGTCACAGAAGAAAGTTTTTCATTCTAGCAGTGTTCTTTTTGGTATGCACCGATAAGAAGACACTACCATTCAAGTTCAGGACCACATTCCATTTATAAAAACAATTTATAATTCCATTTCGAGTTAGAACTATGACAAGGCCGAATGAAAATTAAACATCATAAAATGCTGAAATTCCTTCATAATAAAAATAGATATTTACAGCATAAAGAAGCTCATGAGAAGGCGCGTGTAAAAACTTGTTAGAAAATACTCCCTCCATCCCGCTAAGATTGTCCCATTTTACCTTTTCGGGAAATCCCACTAAGATTGTCCCATACCAAATTTGGTAAAGTTTGTGTGGCTCTAAATCATTTCTACTTTAGTCTTACTTTATCAATTTAATATCAACCACACAAACCCACTTTTCTTAATAATCGTGCCACCTTCTCTTGTCCCAATCTTAGTGGGACGGAGGGAGTACCATTTAAAAAAAACCAACAAACTGACCTTCTCCACAAATGGAAGATCCATATAATCAGGTCCACCTATGCTCAAATTCAACACATCCATGTCGGTTGCTATTGCATAGTTAAATGCATCAAGAAACCATGAAGTGTATGATACCTGCAATGAACTGAGGACATATTTCTCATATGGTTGCTAAGTTACAGATCAAAAATAAGAAAAACTCAATCATTTGGGTTCAGATTTATGCAGTAAAATTTTCAACTTATCACTGTACCTCATACTAGGGCTTATCAATGCCCTATGCAAGTCAGACCTCACACACACACTGTTCCGTGATTCTCACTAGAATTGCTATACACTTCCTTTATGGGATCAGTGAATTACTATGTCAAGACCTATGTCCATGTATCCAGCACAATATTATCTACAGTATAATTCTAGTGCTCACCAATGGTACTCCAGCTATGGCTGCTGGGAAGGTTTTATTTCTCCTGTTTATTATTTATCAGCATTTGCATATGGTTTTGATGTTTTTTTTGCTAGAAAAGATTAATTCTGTCCTCATTTAGGGATGTAAGCTTTGAGCCATGTTTGCTCTCAGTGGCTAGTAACTTTAAATTTGAGAAGAATTTGATCTTTTTACTTCCAAGATAGATACTACTTTGATTAGGTGTTGGGATAAAATGATATATATATATATATATATATATATATATATATATATATATATATAATTACCCCAGTGCCGCAAAGGCTCCCACCTACGGTAGGGTAAGAGGGGGTCGGATGTACGCATTCTTACCCCTGTACTAAAGCACTAAGAGACTGTTTCCGGATGACTCTTAGTGAAAATCGCGTCCACGATTTTATCTATATGAAAAGATACAAAGAAAAGTCTTGTAATTGATTTTATCTCTACTAAGATAGATCCTATTTGTCGAGATCATTCCTGTTTGTATTTTGAAAGAGTGATGAAAATTGAAATGTGTATTTGATAAATTGTTTACACCAAAATGGTATACCAATAAAATGAAAACAATGGAGGAAACATGGGTAGAAAGAGTAGTAGAAGGTAAGAAAAATAATTATTACCCATAAACAACACAAAAATAAAAAACGATGCAGGGCTGTGTGTGTGCGTAAAAAGTAGCTTCCAAAAAAAATCATCAGTGGAGTTGAATGCTCAGGTGAATGTATGTTTTATTCAATTATTCTAATGCAAAGCATCCATTACCTGTGTATCTGTGAATACTCTAAAAGCATAAATCTCAGTGTCTGGGGCAAAACCAAGACATTCTGAATCTTGTCCAGCAATAACTCCAGCTACAAATGTCCCATGTCCAAGATTGTCATTAAGAGTGTCTTCATTGGTCCAATTTGTACGTTCCTGTGTACCCAATCAATGATTAAACCAAAAGAATATTAAGGTGGAATAAAATGTGTCCACGTGTCTGGACCTAAGTTACATGAAATTCAAGTAAAGCATAGGTTTAAAATCATCCCCTCGGAAAAGATAAGTTACCTTGATATTACGAAAATGTGGATGATCTGCTCGAATGCCTGTATCAAATATAGCCATTTTTACTTTAGCACCAGTGTATCCCTTTGACCAGAGTGCTTCTGCACTAAACAGGGAGGTAACTTGAGACTTCTGAAAAAGGAACAATTCTAATTTAGAATTCATAGCTTCCAAGATAACAAAAAACAATAAGAGAACACCAGTGACTTGCCTGCATCAAAAGTTCCCTCTTCCAGCTTATATCAATGTTGCTTGAGTTAGACACTACATTTCTCTCTCCTTCACTGAAAGACATCGCCGTGAAGATCTTGCCCGGTCTCTTCTTCTCATCAAAAAAATCCCCAACCCGAACATTCTTCTTTCCAAGAACTCCTCTTTGATAGCTCAAATCTAATGATACGTCTTTCACACGCTTCAAATTTGTGAACTTCTCAATCAGAATTTCTATCACCGATTCCTCAATTGCCACCAATGCAAAGTCAGTTGGAAATTGAGAAGCAGGGTTTTTCCTTTCTATCCATTCCCAACCTTTCAATTTCACATTGTTTTGCAGATATGTCTGATGAAATTCAGATTTCAGATACTTAGTGAATCGAACAATATAATTCCTTGGTGAAGAATGCTGCTCTTGGACCACGTCGTGGTTGTGGCAGAAACTCTCTGTTAGTTCTGCTTCAAATTGTGCTTTTGATGTAGAGTAAAGCAGAGTTTTATTTTGGTCGCTTTCAGGGTACTGAAGAAACAAAAAAGGATGGAAAAGGCGGAGCACAAAGGAGAGGATGAGGAATGCAAGGGGGAGCATGAAGATGGAGAATTCACGACAATTTCGCATGGTGAAAAGGGAGGTGAGTCCCTTTCATCAATGGAGAGAGAAGGATGTGACACTTGCAGATAACCAGAAACTTATTTTCACGTTTTAATAGCCAATTTTTTCCAATAACACCCACTTCTTGCTACTGCACCACTGCAGTGGAAGTCACATACAATGCAATGAGCTTGTCTGGCTGCAGGTCGCATAATGACACACGATTAATGAACAAATAAAACATCAAGATCTTCCCCCATCAGTAAACAAAATTGATGATAAAAACACACAACTTTCCTCTAAGTCGACTCAAAGCTAACTCCCCTAAATACATATGATAGGACACTTGCACCAAATCTTGCACTCCCAAAAGTGGCCAAGCCAAATTTAGGGCCGTGTATTCATCATTTCATCGCCGGCAATCTGTTATTTGGCCCGCCCATGGCACATAAAATGATGCCAGATTTAGCACGAGTATCACTACATAATTAACATTTAACTGCAATCTTGTAACCAAGAAAGAAAGAAACTCAACGAAATAAAAGGTGGAGAATATAAGCGAATTACCAGAAGAAATGGCCTCCCATTGATGATTCGGGGCTCTGAATTGATATTACAGGGATACAAGAACTAGTCGGAGAGAGATGAGGCTCGGATCAGGCCGTGATAGCTTAAAGATTGTTATTACCTTCATAGTTCACGGCTTTGAGCTGTTGAAAACTTGAAATTACCTTCTTTAGCCCATGTTTTGGCAGTGAACTTATTAAACTGGCTTTATTGATTTTAAGGAAAAGTTGGAAAATTACATTTGTACATATTTTGCAAACCTCTCATACATTTTGTTGATATTACAGACAATTCGTTTACTAAGAATGCAAAATTATCTACTACACATATTAAATTACATTTGCACATATTACAAATGTAAAAATTACATTTGTGCACATTCATTTGTATATACCTCGTATATTTTGTCTATATTACAGACAGTTTGTCTAGCAAAAATGCAAAAATTGTCTACTAAACAAACAAAACATACAGAGCGTGTATAAAACATATAGAAATGGACATGTATATCAAGAATTGCTCATAGTACTATCATGTAATCCTTGACTTCATTTTTCCGGCTAATGTGATACTTATTTATTATTTCTACATGAAGGTTACATTTGAGTGTATGGTTCTTTTCAACTAGCTAATTTTATTGTGAGAAATTGGATATGAAGGAAGATTACGAACATTAAAGAAAACATTTTAAGTAGTTATCTCAACGTTTCCTTTAACCAAATCATGAACATGAGAGTTTGCTTCTTTATAGCAATATTGAGACCCCAAAATAAATTATACATCTCATTACTTATGGAAGCCTTTTTTGTTAAGATTTGACCAATGAATTACTTAGCTAATGGTCTTGAAGTTGATCTTGGAACACATATGAGGCTTGTATATAGAACTTGAGTGCAAAATCATATACCCATCTTGATTTTACATAGTTGCCTCCTCCATCATTGGAGCCCTATTCATGACCACTCATTTGATAGCAAACTCTGCACCGGTTCATAGTAGTGAATCTCAGTTGTCAACTTGTCTATTCAAGTTGTCAATTTGTTGATTTCTAGCCCAATTATTGACTCCATGTGCAGAGATGAAATGTGAGGACCATTGTAGTTGTTTCACTCGTGCATTGCACGAATATTCTAGTTATTAGACCATCATTGAATACCTAGTTTCATTACGAGTTATTTCTTTATTCATTTGGATTTGAAGTTGAGAAAAATAGAAAATTTAATTATTTTACGTTCAAATACTTAAATAATCTTATTTTACTTTGGAGCGTGGTTTAGGATGTAAATGCATTCAGTTATGTGAGAACAGGTGGTGGCGGTAACGCCCCGTGAATATTTACTTCCTCTGCCATATAAATTATGTTTAAACCTTACTATTTTAAGTAAATGTTATACTAAAGCTACTACTTGTAGTATGTGTTATGGGTACAAATTTGTGAGCATTACATGTCTGATGCAATTTTGATATTTTTCTTGATATTCTAGCATTAATAATTAGTGAATCTTGTTCTCGTGTAGACATAAATTCTCTCTTACTTTTTTACTAAGGTCATAGTATTTACGGCCCTGCTGGGCGCCCCACCAAACTTGATTTGCGCACCATTTTTTGTCAAAGTTGGACAAGTATGTCCTTAGTCACGCAGTCCACTACTTCCTATGGTCCTATGCGCACCACTTACTTTTCCTTATTAAAGTCAGTAACATATGTGGAGTACGTAATTACGGAGCTAGGCGATCCATTCATTCTTCCTATTGATTTTTGTAATGGGTCTTATTGCTTCTTTAAATAAAAATAGGTTTTCATATTTCCTAATATTGTTGTGTAACATATTTCTAAAAATAACGTAATTGTCATAAAAATTACTCAATTTCCTAATGTAATTAAGATTACACTTTCCAACTACTATCAAAGAAGTACTATATAAATATTTCAAACCAGATCAGACTAGACCAACCCATATCAGCAAATTTTAGTCCAAAATAAAAACATCCTAACAATTCAAAATAAATATATAAAAGAAAGTTTTGAGTTAGCTAACATAATAAATATATAAAAGAAAGTTTTGAGTTAGCTAACAAAATATCTAAGCCACACATGTCTAAATTAAATAGCATACAATTACGCAAATTAAATAACACCAAACATTGAAATGTAAAAAATAAGGCATCATCATTCATAAAGTAAAAAGATAGCATCACAAAGCCATAAGATATTAGACTAGTCAATATACTTATATATTTAAGAAAACAATTTTAAGCTTGATTTAGCGACTGTTCATGAGATTTGACCTTTTAAAAAAATATTACATATATAATATTGATGTCATATGAAAGATCATAAAAATTACTCCGTATTTAATTTGATGGAATTATTATAAAAATTGGAACAAAAATGAAAATGTTATACAGAGTAACATTTTATATAAAAAAGGGAATTATTTACCACACGACAGCATATTATTGCATGGAGATTGAATGTAAAATTGACATGGAGCAAGCCATGTGATCCTACGAGAACTAAACAACAATTTTATTAATTTTAAATTAATAATTAAAAAAGTCAAAATTGTCATGTAATGATTACAAGTATGAATAGGGTGCACAAAAAAATGTTAGCAAAACAACATCTTGACTAATACCGAATATAAAACATCTTGAATAAAAAATGATGTTTTTATATTTGGTATTAAAAAACATAAAAATTAATATTGACTGATCTGGGAGAGGAGAAAGTCGTGATTGATTACTAGGTAGCTATGACATAGGGGTGTCAAATTTAAAATTGTTGTTCGAAATTAATTTAAAAGCGATTGAAATTCAATACGGCTTCCGTTGGCAAGTTTAAAAGGGTAAATCAGTCTCTCTATAGTTAGATTTATTAATTATGGGGGTGCGTCTAGCAACTATTGTCGGTCTGCTGTTAATTATCCCAACTATTGTCGACTCGTTATTAATAATCTCAACTATCGATTATTTGTTAGTGGTTCCAACTTTATGCACCATTTTCCAAAAGTAGTCCCTAACCGCTACAACATGGTATAGCAGGTCAAATTTAAATGCGAACTATGCGTAAGTTATAAATAATCTCAAATATAGTTGATCTTTCTTTATTCATCTCAATTATCAACTTTCAATTTTTGGAAGGTATAGAAATATTTTTATAAATTTCCAAACTAAATATTTTTAAACATGTAAAAATAATTATGAAACTTTTACACATGTATCGAAGTTAAATAAAATATTTTAAGTCATTTTTTATTTATTTTCACTAAAATTTCATTTTTTTTCTTTTTTCCAATTTATTTTTTCCAGTTGTGTTAACAAGTTATGATTTCGTATTATTTTCCTTTATTCAATTTTACATTTTCTGTTTACAAAAGGTAAACTGTGACTAAATTTTTTACGATTTAAAGCTTTATTCTAGGGAGGATTATACTTTAACATTGGTTGACAAAACAATATTGACTTTTCATTATAGGTAGCCAAAACATATACACCAAACATATACCTCCAAAACATATACAACAAATTACTAAAATTAAACGATAAACTATGTAAGATATGTTATAGAATATATTAATATAGAATAAAGAAAATAGAAAGAAATTAAAAATACTGAAATGGAAAAATAGAAAATTTAGATTTTTAGAATTAAGAGTGCATAAAAAATTATGTAAAATATATTTTCATGAAAAAAGATAGAATAAATCTCTAAATCGTAAAATTCTTAATCACAGTTTACTTTTTATAAACAGAAAATGTAAATTTTAGTAAAGTAAAATAATACAAAATCATAAGTTGGTATCACAATTGGGGGAAAAAAAAGAAACTTTTTTAGTGAAAATGAATAAAAAATGACTAAAAATATTTTATTTAACTTCGGTACATTTGGAGAGTATCTACGGGACGCTACTTGATCAATCCACTAAAAAGCATGATGCATTGGTATCACAAAAATCCTTGTTACGTATATATCACCGTTCTCTATGATGTTTATATGTCATAATTTTGTGACACAAAAGTGACTTGTTAACGGTGACACTAAATTGTAAATTTAACGTCACTAGCCCCACTTTTCTTTGACACTTTCAGAGTGTCATTAAATCGTTTAGTGACACTAATTTAATGTCACTATAAGACATTTTTTACTAATTAATGATGGAAATCAGCTCCTTAATTTATAAAATTCCAGATATTGAACATTTGATTTCCAGAACAGATATACCTTGAGTCTTAATTAGAGAAGTTTTCTTAAAAAAGAAAACAAAACTGAAAAAATGTACTACCTCCGTCCCTTAAAACTTTGTCAAAGTTGACCGTCACGGAGAATAAAAAAGTAAAAACTGTGTGGTTGAGGTTTGTGCAGAGAAGAGAGAAATAACAGAAACCACAAAATAATTGATTAAAAGGGAAAATGACAAAGTTTTTTGGGACGTCCCAAAAAAGAAAGATGACAAAGTTTTAAGGGACGGATAGAGTAATAAATAATAACTGGGATTTTTAACACAACAAAACCATAGAACAAATCCTCTCATGTACCAATCTTCATTTTTCTCTCTCTAGCCACTCAATGGTGGAACGATGACGTTTAGAGACAATGAAAAAGGAGAAATCATTGTTGTAGTAAAATTCGGGAAGTCATCTAATCTCTAAAGAATAAAGACTAAACTGGACTTCTGTTATTGGGCCTATTATATTAAGCCCATCTTATATTTCATTTTAGAATAGCTGGAATAGCCTTATAGTATAAATACTACTACCTCCGTCCCTTAAAACTTTGCCAAAGTTGACCGGTACGGAGAATAATAAAGTAAAAACTGTGTGGTTGAGATTTGTGCAGAGGAGAGAGAAAAACAGAAACCACAAAATAATGGATTAAAAGGGAAAGTGGCAAAGTTTTTTGGGACGTCCCAAAAAGGAAAGATGGCAAAGTTTTAAGGGACGGAGGGAGTATATTACAAACCCTATTCTGTAACGATTGATTCATTCTTCTTTCTTCTTCCTCTGTCAACTGCTTCCGCTTCACGTTCTCAAACTTCACATGGTATCAGATTAAGGCTTCGATCCAGTAGTTTTGGGACGTCCCTATCTAGCATTTATTGCTACTATAAATAGCACCCATTTTCCCCATTTGTAATCCATGCTCAGTACGCTCCATACATTCTCAGCAATACATATTCTCTCTC